AAAGAGGAAGAGAAGGTAGATAAATTAAAATTTTAGAAAAGCAACAGGATTGACAAGCTCAAATTTTCCCAAACCCAATCCACATATATATATATATATATAATCTATAGCAACTATAGTTTGTGGCAACTAATGCTACCATTCAAAGCTTTTAATTTTTAAAACTTGAAATTATTTAACTTAGTGTAAGAATATACTATGGCTATTTCTGCTCACATCACAGCTCTGTAACATCTACCATCAAATGAGGGGAAAAGAGCATTACTTGTGTTGGCATTTCAAGCTTCATCTGCTTACCACAGTGACTGCTTGCTACTTGTATTTACCTCAGCTTGTATGAGAAGAGATAAGCATGACAGGAATTACTTGCTTCAAACTTTAAAAAGTTAATTGCAACTATTAAGCTTCAAACAGAAATTTTGTTACATAAAAAGCAGGTTGGCCTTTGTTACACAGCCAAATTCGGTTTAACACCATCTCTCTTTAAAACACAATTATTTTGGACACTTAACTGGTAATTGTTAAGCTGTCTGAATAAGCAATTTAGTCCACCCACTGTACTTCCATCCTAAGACTTAAGATTCTAATAGTCCTATCCAACAGCAGAATCTCCTCCATTTCAGATGTCATGAAATAATGAAATATTCACTGCTGCTCTTCCACTCTTCTGAAGGAAACAAATAGAACTTGCTTATTAACTACATTCATATAACTGGATAGGTGAAAAATTTGAACTAAGAAGATGGGAAGAAGGTAAACATACTCCCGTGGAGCATACTAATGTCCTAGCATTGCCCTTCCTGAGGCAGTATCAAAAAGAGAAAAAAGCCTGTACAGTGTTCCAAAGAAAGTGTAATATCAACAATTTCTACAGATGATACAACAAATTCAGCTGCACAGGGAAGGCCAGTATTTTGCATGCACCATTCTAAAAGATTTTACAGAACCCAGGAGAAGCATCTAGTCCAGTATCTGGAAAACATTCTGACAATACTCCATGTCCTCCAAGATGCACTATTGGTTCCTTTTGTAATGTTTTTAATGTTATTAAGCCATACAAATTAATTGTATGAAAACAGTAAAAGTATTCTGAAGTTAAGTCACTTTCCAAGTCCAAACCTAATCATCCATCTAATAATTATGAGTGGGCCATTGATAAGTGAATGGGCAAAACCTTTAAAACTCACAATGCTTTCAGAAATGTTGATGGTGCCCACAGAAATTCTGGAATAGAAAACATCAAGGACAGTAATATTAAAAAATAAAAATAAAACAAAACAAAAGTTCAAAGGAGGCATGTAGTAAGTTTGGTATTTATCAGTCAAGGAAGTACATTCAAGGTTTCCTACAATAAAAGAAGAGTTCAAATTGAGAGGTGGGACATGACAATGCTTCATAATTAAAAGTCATGGAACCAGGAAGCATTTTTACTACAGAAGATTATCATAGCAGTAATTCAAACAAACATGCTAGATCTTTGCAAAATGGCAATGCTCCAATATACAGATCAACAGAATTGTTATATCCTAAAGTGTCAGGCACGTATTAGTTGCCTGCTAATTATTGGTTATTTCTTCACTTGTTCAATACTAAGTATTACTAAAAATATTCTCAAGATAATACAGAATTTACAGAACAAGACACTCCATTCTACTTGTTTTTCAACTTCAAAGGTCTAGTATCAGTTTCATCTGTTGAGTTCTATGTCTAGCTTTAATTATAACTGAAATGAGTCTTGTCCTAAATTTATGCTGGTGTACTCCAGCTGGCACAGTAGTTTTGCAATACAAATATTAACGTTTTCATTTGTTCCATAAATTCTATAGCATCTTCCACTACATTGCTCTATGTACCACCCCAGCTATTGTTTTTATTTTAACCATACGCAACTATGTTTAAGGTTCACTACCTGCTTCAGTATGCAAGTGTGTGGTGAAACTACAAGCAAAAAAAGATATGGCACCTAATTCAAACACAGAAAAGCTACACAGAAGTCTGGCTCACCACACAGAATCGCACTACAGGATGCACATATGAGCTGAAACTATTTAAGCACCAGAGATAAAAGCACTGGAAATTAAGCTAACTGCGTGTTTTCATCAGGGATTAAAGTATGTAACCAAACTTTTCCATATTTTGCTCTAACTTAACTGTATAAAAATGAAACAAGAGATAGGATTACTTATGTTACAGGTCCCATCTTCTGTTGAGGTTTGTTTTGCAAGAGAATGATACTTTCAATTCAATCGGGAATTGAGTCTTAAAAAAAAACCTATTGTAATTTCATCCCACACACTCTGTCACTCATTCGTATACTTGTATGCAAAGAAATTAAAATATGTAAATTTTTAATAGTACACATATTACTTAGTAAATATCCAGATAACAACCTGGAGCTTTTAAGAGCTAGAAGAGAAACACACAAAAAAACCCAACTGAACTTCATTTACAAGTTTTCTAAGTAAGGCCTTGTTGAACAGCTTACTGTTCAAATTTTCCAGCAGATGTTGGGGTGGTTGAAGTCCCCCCAGCAGGATCAGAGTCTGCAAGTGTGATGCCTCTTGTAGGTGGAATAAGAATGCTTCATCAATAAGCTCCCCTTGATCGGGCAGCCTGCAGTAGGCAGTTTTAACCTACAAGCTTCCAACCTGCTTGTGGCTGTTCTTCAGAGGCACCTCTTCACACTATATCCATTTCTTGATCTAGAGGGTCCTCCACGCCTCCTTTCTCACCTGCCCCTTCTGAACAGTCTGTAGCCATTGATAGCCACACTCCACTCATGAGATTTGTCCTATTGATCAGTAGTGGCACCTAGGTCATAGCTTTCTAGCAACACAGTGGCTTCCAGCTCCTCCTGTTTGTTGCCCATGCTGTATGAATTGGTGTAGAGGCACTTCAGCTGGGCTGTCAGATGTGTTATTTTCTTAGAGGAAGGCCCCTTAATTCCTTCGAGGTATTTCACCACTATTTCCCTGTTGGCTTCTATTACCTCAGAAGCCTCTGGCTCACTGCTGTAAGACTAGTGTAGTCAGTACATCGCAGAGCAGCAGGATGAGGGTCCCCACTAGCATCCTGTCCCTTTAACCTTGGTGTGCCATCCCAGAGCTTGCCACATGTAAGCCTGATGTTATCCCTGTCCCCCTTGAAGTCTAGTTTAAGCTCTGTCAATGAGTCCCCCTTCCTCATAAGCAAAGACCATTTACCTCTTTGAGAAAGGTGAACCTCATCTCATGCCAGCAAGCCTGGTGCCATGCAGGCGATCCCATTAGCAAAAAACCCAAAACAGTGGCAGTGACATCAGCCACAGAGCCATGTATTAATAGACCAGGTTCATCTGTTTCTTCCAGCGTTGCTGCCTACAGCTAAGAACAGAGGGGAAAAGACAGCCTGTGCTCCAGATTCCCTTATTAACCATACATACTCAAAAATTTTCATCTTCAATTGAAAAATTACAAAGGCTATGCTGACACACCTTTCTGTGCAAGTCCAAAACTTAATTTGCACAGACCAAGAGAACTGACAACATCTACTTTACATAACTATCTCAGAGCTCCCTAGCATTTCTCATTCACAGTGCTACACACTTCACATGCTGTGTATTAAGTTTCTAACAAAGCATCTTCAAAGAACACAGAAAAGTCAAGCCAGGCTATTTAAAAAGCATTAACAGGCTATTTAAGCTGCAGTTCCGGCAGCACAAGTTATTTGGTGCACTTTCTGAAGTCTGAACGGTTTCACACATGGATTGCCATAATTTAAATAAACATTACTAGCCTAACAGAATGCAGCCTGCTAGATACCTGCTAGATTCAGTGAACTAAGTCTACAATAAATACACAAAAAGAGAAGCCTTCCAGGTATTTGTTCCAATGCAACAGTAATTTTAATAGATTTAAAAGTCATGCAGCTCCCTTAAACAGGGTACAGGACTGAAACCAGACCTACACTTCATTTGCTCACTCTTCTCCTCCCAAAACCTATAATGGGAAAAGTGGTTAAGGACAAATATAATCTCTGGTTTCCTTTACGTTCTGATAAAGCGGAGAAATTTGGTGGCTATTTCTGCAAAACCCTTCATCTGACAGTATTAGAAGTCTTCAAGGAGAGAAAACATACCTGCTATAGGCACATATCCAACTCCTTGCTGATATACAGTGGGCATCAGAACCACTGGCTGAGGCTGCATCATCATGGCAGCTGGCAAAGACTTGACACAAAATGCACAGATTAGAATTACTCAGGAAATATAAAAAACGAAACCAGCAATTAAAAAAATTAAAACAGTATCTGTAAACAAATTATCACATTGCAAATTCATGTTCCATGTTCAATATTGTAACACCATGGTAAGTGCTAATATATATTAAGATGAATCTCTGGCAGATTAACTGGACTACCATCCCTTTAAATAACAGTGACTTTGCCTATAAATTAATATAAACACAAACCTAGGTCTCAGCTTAGAGCAAAGTTCAAATCAATTATTTTTTAGGTAAACCAGTACTTTAGATATCAATTTAACTACTTTCCCTTTTACTACCACAATTCCTGTTCTGTATAATCCTGGAAAATATCGAAAGGTCAAATTTTACATTTTGTACGTTCACCAGCAGACAGTCTTAAAGGTTAATTACAAACTAATTTCTCCTATGCGTAACAGAACAACTGATCACACTTGGGGCAGAATGCAAATTTCAAACAGTAAGGAACATCTTTTCCCAGTAGTTCACTCAAAAGCAACTTGAAACTTTTGATGATGCATAGTAGGAAGCATCCAGGGCTGCATACGCTACCCAACAGCTACTTAAGAAAGGTGACAAATCACAGGAATGTAAAAAACAAAGTAATTAGAAAGACCATTCAAACTATGCAAGAAAGATGCAATACAGACAAGTTTCCATTATTTTTGCTTCTCAAATGACATTAATTACTAAGGATTCAGGGGAAAAAATAAGTTATTGTAAGAGTCCATAAAACTTTAAAAATTATTAAATTAGAAACTACAATGTACCGACCATTTGATTGAGGATTTCTTCTTTATACTTCTGTTTGCACAAAAGTAAGCTGAATTTTTGTAATTGCAAAACTAGATAAATACCCATTTTACACCTCACCAACAAGTATTTACTGCATTAACTAACAATTTTAGCTGCTATTCCTAATGTTAAAAACATGCATTTTAAATACTAACATACAGAAAAACCCAGTAAGGTACAGCAGAACTACTTCTACTTCAATTTAAAACATCTCCTTTCCACTAACCAAGAAGCTTGTGTCCCTTCCTCATCCCACATGAAATTTGGCTTACCGTATATGACATAACCAGATTAATCATTCCTTCCTTATCATCACCCTGCCTTCCACTCAGGCTATACCACTCATCCTCCACATTTCCTTGCTTCAGTGACTCAGGAATTGTAATGTGTGTCCAAGCAATGCGGTCATCCATTGAAAAGGCACGCTGGAATATAAACAAAAATATGATCTAGTTAATTGTCCCAAAAATAAAAAAAGCTTAAAATTATTCTTGAGTAAACCTTCTGTTTTATGCTGTTTCATTTTGTCAATTTTGTTTTTAAGCTACTCCTTTTGAAATACTTAAGCATTGATACATATTTTAACCACCTCCTTTCCAACAAGGTTGAATGATGCCTTAAGTGGGATTATATATCAATTCCAGATATTTAATAACAAGAAATTGAAAACCTGAAGCCGAACACTTCTAGAAATACAACACAGTAATAACAGCATAGTCTGCAATATCTCGTGATATTGTAGCAGATGCCACTAAATGAATGTAAACAGCTTCTATTTACACCACTGTAACAGGCTGTACATTCTAGTAATTGAAGAGCAGATACAGGTACTGATCTGCTGCCCCTGTTGGAGCAACGCAAGACACTTCAACAAATCAATTAAGCCCACAAAAAAGCACTCAGCCTCACTTGTGTAATCATCACACAGCTGCTGCAGTGTCAAGTTTATTAAACACAGTAACAGAGGTAGTAAAAAAAGGGAAACAACAGATTTTAGCTTCAGTTGTAACCTCAGTTTCTGCTAATAAATCTTAGTGACTACAAAGTCTACATTTGACAGTTTTATTCTCAGCATTTCTGAGCTTGGGAAATTTTCCAAGCTCCTTCTGGGTTAGAATAATACTGAAGAATTTCCAAGTAAAACATCATTATTAAAAACAGGCTATTTTTAATAGGGACAGTACAGAATATATGGCTGTAGGGCATTTTAATAGAAAGGGAGCTTACACCACTCAGACATTTTTGCTTTTCTTCCTCTGCAGAGAACCCTGCTAATGCCTCTTACTTGCTATCAAAGGAAAAGCAGCTCTGATATTCTTGAGGAAGACTGAAGCCTTCCACATTGCTGCTCTTGGGATTCTGAAAATTTAAATAATCTCCCAGAGAGCATAGCTAAGTCTAGAATCACGAAAAGAATAACTGTCTCAAAACAGTGGCCCTGACTAACTGCACATTGTGGTGGGGGCCTCATTGGATAACCACCTGGACTGTGTTCTTGCAAGGAGAGCCCCTTGTTTGGCAGCCACCCTGATAAACTGGACACTGTCCTTGAAAGTGGAGGCCCTCCTTTGGCAGCCACACTGAAAAGAGGACACTGTCCTTACTTGATAAGGAACAGTGGATGGCAAGAGGAGCCCCATGGAGGCATCGTGCCATCTTGCAAAAGACCACTTTGCTGCTTAAGGACAGAGCGCACATGTGAAAATAAAAGTCATTGCTCAGTAAACCTAGATGGGGGGCTGGGCAAGTGATCACCTGGACCCCCATGACCCACCAACTAGTTTCCAGAATGTTCCCAAATCCAACACTGTGTCTTTGCAAAGCAGGCCAAGCCTCACCAAGAGAGGCAGCGCCAGGTGTCATAAAAAAGGCGGACTCAAAATGCTCGGGGTGCACGCCCATCATCCAAGGACCACAATAGCATGCCAAGACCATTGCTGGATCCAAGGGTGGTGATATCCTTCTTACCCACTCTTTCTCCATCTCTCTCTCTTTCTCTCTCTCTCTGTTTCTAACCTTATTCTCAGCACATAGGGGTAACATAATTTCTAATTTTGCTAAGTTTTTCCAGTTGTAACCTGTTGTTTTGAGAGTACCGTTTTGCTAAGTTCTGCTAGTTGTAATCTGTTGCTTTAACAGTGATATTGTGTGTTTCCTTTTCACAAGCTTTATAATCTTACTCAATATTAAGTAAAGGCGTGTTTTGTGAAAGCCTCCTGGGTAATGGTCTTACTCTTAGAGCACCAGGCAGAGAATTCCCGAGTTTAATCTCACCGAATGGGGTTTTAAAAGAGATATTTATATTTAGTATGGGTCCCCAGCTCTGGGGATCTGTGTCCACTTTGTGGGACATGATACTAAGAAACAGCCTTTGGTAACTCAATCCTTTTTTGCTAAATTTCACCTAAATCTCAGCCCAAACAGGATGGGGGGGGAAAGGCAGAGCAGATATCTATCGTAGTTCTGACCTCATCAAATATCTCTAGATAAAAAGAATCCACACCCGGGGGAACAGTGCACTGAATAACTTTGTTCCAGCGAGGGTTCTTGGCTCCATTATGTGCTGTTGGAGTTTCATACACAGCATACCCCAGCCGTATTCGACAATATGGATCCATGCGAGTCATTCCATAGTTCTTTGCCAATTTTGCCTGAAAAGAAAAAGCCTGTAAGTCTATAATTTTTACATAACCATGAAGTTAATTACTACTGGTTCACAAAGAGAATCAAATATTGAATTAAGGACTAGGTGCAATTATGACATAGAAAGGTAGGAAGGAAAAAAACAATCAAGGAAAATACCGTTCAACTTAAAAATATGCCAATGACACCATTAAATGTCTGGGAGACCTGGAAAAGGGAACCTCTTTTTAACCTGTCTGTTGCAGAAAATATACAGCTTCACCACAGCCAAAGCAAGTTACCTCATACCAAACCAAGTTAAATAATTACAAGGAAATAGTAACAAGCTCAATTTTTGCCTAAGTATCTGCTCTCCAATATACAATCAAAAACTTGATGTGATAGGTAGTCTGTACATTTTCACTGAAGTACTTTTAAAGGATGAAATACAGAAATGCAGTAGCTTCAAGAGTATCATACAATACAAAAGCAACAACTGCAAAAGTAGTTCAATTCAGGTAAAAGTTAGTACATCATACTTTACAAAGTGATTAAAAAACTTACTTAATTCAGTGTGTGTATTTGAAGATGATCAAAGGGCTGAGACAGGCTGAGAGTTGGGGCTGTTCAGCCTGGAGAAGAGAAGGCTCTGGGGAGACCTTATAGTGGCCTTCCAGTACCTGAAGGGCCTACAGGCAAGGTGGGGATGGGCAATTCACCAGAGAGGGCATTGATACGACAAGGGATAAGAGCTTTAAACTAAAAGAGGGTAGACTTAGGTTAGACATCAGGAAGAAATTTTTCACCATGAGGGTAGTAAGGCATTGGAATAGGTTGCCTAGGGAGGTTGTGGAAGCCCCCTCCCTGGAGGTGTTTAAGGACAGGTTGGATCAGGCATGTCAAGGCATGTTGCTCTATATACTTCATCAATGCATATTTAAATACAAAAGACTTAATCAGCTTTTCATGTTCCACCAGTTAATTATGCCACAATACATCCCCTAATCCAAAATGCCACATGCCTCAACACAAAGCCATGATTCCCACAGCATTCGAGAAGACTAACTCTTGGGACACCACAGGGTTCTACTGACATTCAGAGACTGTGACAGACTGAAGAAGTGCACAGGATCAGTACCTCTTTTCCTGAGAGACCCTATATAGGTTTACTCCCCAATAAGGACCTCACCATGGAAGCTGTAAACATATGCATACTACTCCAGGCTTGGTGCTAAATTTGAGGTTTAATATGTCTTCCGTATGTCTTTACAAGTGCTATTTTCAAGTCATTCTCTAAACAGATGAAGTGTGTTAATTAATATGAAGGACATCTGGTGTGCTAATGTAGATAAACAGAATTTTATTAAGCAGACAAGTTTTAATACCTGAAATCTTATGCATAATGAATGCAGTAATACAGTAATGTGAAGAGGTAAAAGAAAGGACAGCAAGCAAAAAGAGGAAGTAGAAAATAAAGAGCAAGAACTACTCACTTGTAATTAAAAAGAAAGCCTGCAGAAAGCACTAGTTAAAACAGCAAATAGATTAGAGGAAATGGGGATGGAACAGAGAGGTCACATAAGGAAAAATATGTAAGGCAACTGCTGTTCCCTGCATCTTCTCAAAACTGCTAGTTTTCCAATAGTAAGTGTTTCTATAGGAAGCCTTACCAGAAGTTTTCAGAGAAACCTGTTCACTATAAAAAAAAACACATTAGTTTATTTGATTATGTACTCTAACAGCAAGCTCTACAGGAAATTGCTGCACCATGCACAATGCAGCTATGAAACCAGACAGAATGCTGATATACGGAAACATGAAGCTACAGAAACTTTAAAAAATACTGATTACCTATATACAAGTAATTTAGTAACTCAGATTCCAGTAGAAAATCTCTTTGTGGCCACCAACCAAAAAAGATTAAGAGTATTAATCAATTACAATTACTTAATTGTACAAAGATGGTACAATTTATACCTGTACTACAGTAATGCTGAGTCTGCCTACTGTACCCATTGTTCCTCCATACTGTAGCTGTTGAGCTGCCTGTGCATCCAGCTGGATTTGCTGTTGCTGCTGAGTTGGGGTAATACGAAGAAAATCTTGAGGAAGCTCACCAACGTACACCTTAAAAAAGAGAAAGAAAGAACCTTCAAACTTAAGACTTCCACTTTCATGATGAAAAATTAGTAATAATGAAAAAGAAAGCAGAATACAAACAAAAGCTTAGCAAAAATATTCAGCAGAATTTAGTCTAGGTTTGACAGCATAAACAAAGACAAAATTGTCAACTCACGCAGAAAATGTTCTGATACTCGCTTTCAAAAACTTTGAAATTTTCAAAAAATTTCCAACATAAGCTTCTGAAAAAAAATAGGACTACAGAACCAATGCTGCTCTGAACCAAACATGGAAATAGTCCATATAAAAGTCACATACACCATCTGATGGCACCCAAGTCTTTAATTTATTCATCACTCATGTTGCGTTCAGTCATTCCTGTGGCAAGACATAGCACACTGCTTTCATCTGAAAGGGTCACTTTCACAGTCACCTTCAAGACAGATCATAAGGGCAGCGTCTCATATGAACCAAATCCTTCAACATAACTAAGAATCCTTCAACATACAAATATATCCTAATGCGTTTTCAATATTAAACATGGCCAGCCTGCAACTAACCTTCAGAACAAAATCCCACCACTCAAAACAATAACGGAAGATCCACAACGGAATATTCAAAGCAGAAAAATACTGGAGGAACTCCATCACGAGCCAATATGAATCAGCATGTATTAGTATGTATTTTCTGCTAGTTTCACAATAAAGGAAGCAAAAGTTTCTACCTATTACTAGTCAATTCTATTATTGTCAATGCAACAACTCAGGTTGTTTCTAGGTTTTTAATGCTCAGTGAACATTATCAGTAACACATTTAGAGAGATTATATCATTAAAAGAACAAGCCCACCAGAATAATACATTTTAAAAGGCAAATAAAGTAGCATAGAAAATATATAATTAAGCTGTTCTTATTTATGTTGTCCATTGAGTTGCTTACATATTAAATACAGAACTGCCCACCACATCGAGACAAAAGACAGTGCAATTTCTTATGTTGCAATTCCAGGCAAGATTACTCAGTTGTGCATCTGACAGATGCATGCCTACAGAACATAATTTAAGAAGTTAACAGGCCTCTAAGACACAGCTTTTGAAGATTAGACAGCAATTGCATGTCAAGATTGCATCTTGGAGATAGAAACTGCAGCTCTTGCCAAATCACATTTTGTATTACTTGTTATCTGAGAGACTCAGGATCCTTGCAACAATAGGTGTTATTTGCCAGAAAGGAAGTTTATCAAAAAAGCTAAGGAGAAAGTACAGAATGCCTGCTGTTGCATATTGGGAGGAAGAAGAGAAGCAGTTTTGCTTACCTGTAAAGTTTTAAGATGCTTTCAAGATTTTAAGAAGATCAAGTTTTAAAACGTGGGAGGAGGAAATGAAGAAGGCAGTGAGGGCAAAGACCAAGCTAAAAGGTAGCATTAATATTTTTTAAAAAGCTTATTGAACTTAGACTGGAAATTAGATAGGTTCTTGTAACAGCTTTCTCATTAGAATACATTTTTTAAAAGGAGCTAGTTTTAAAATAAAACATAATCCATTTAGGAAGGATTTGAAATGGCACCAGAATTAGCAAGGCAATGGCATTTACAGCACAGCACATCCCCTCCACCTTGACCTCCAGGAAGTTTCAAATCTGGTATTATTAGTATTTCTAAGAATCAACATCATAAAGATTTCCCATAGTCAGAAGTGGTGGCTGCAGCCCTGAAATTACATTCCCGTATGTGCAAGCTCACTCTGTCAACAAAAAACAGGATAGCATATTTTGTCTCCATCTTAACACAGATATTTGAGACCTTAATTCATTCTCAACAAGTAAGAAATCTAATAATATCTTTCAATTTTTATATTTTAAGTCACCCAAAAACTGTTTCAAAATAAAATATATAAAGTAGTCTCAATATTGAAGTCCAAACTGGACAAACAAAATCTGTAAGGTAAGGGAGACCACAGTTTTCCTACAGCATTTTAGGTCATACAGTTATCTCACATAACACTACATTCTTATCCTGGAATTGCAGAGCAGACATACAGAGAAACTTAAAACAGCTACTGTAACTAAATTATTAAAAGATTCAAGCGGTAAACCCCTCCAAAAGAAGAGTGTGGAACAAGAGATGCATACACTCCCATCATAAATGTTCTGCTCTGACCAAGATCTGGTACACAAGTCCTGGTGAATAATATCTAGGAGAGATGCTTATTGAGGAAAATACACTACTCAGTAAGTTCTTATGCTAATGATTAGTTGATTATATAGTGATGGAGACAAATCAGTAGTGTTCAATATTTCTTTCTCTAAAGAAGACAGGATAATTTATGTCTTCCTTAAAGCACTTAGAAGCAGGAACACAATTGCCTCCTCCAAACCTGAATAAAAAATAATAGTTAGATAAGAGTTCAAAGACTATTTTTGTTCTTAAGGCAACGGAGCATAAGTGACAAGCTTATATCACTGATCCTACTCAGCAACCGCTTTAAGACAAATGCACTTCAAATCAGATGCACTTGGCTCTACTGTACCAATATTTAAGGAAGAATGTGAAACTCAAACCTGCTCTGCCATTAACAGCAGAACAAAAAATTAATTCAATTTAACATTTGATCTTTACTAGAACTCTCTTTTCAAGCAGGACAGTGCTATAATAGAACTACAATTTGGAAGACAAATGTTGAGCAGGTAGTCTTTATAAAAATGGTAAGCCTGCCTCGTAATTACTTGCTAATAAACTTTACTGACAGCATTACATATCAGAAATATGTATTATTAACATAGCTAGTTTTTCAAAGTAAAACACTACATGTATAAAAAAAAATAAATTTATTCAAATTGAAGGCAGTGTGATGTTCTATAGCTATTTAAGCTAACTTAGGACTGAGCTGTTTCAGCCTCACCTCTCTATTTCTTTTCACTCCACCTTCTTGTCCAACACTAAATGGTGCCAAGCCAATTGTAAATTATGCTAGTGCAGAGGACTGGTAAGAATAAAAAGAAACAAGTGCTGGAGCTAAAGGGAAGAGACAAGGAAGTAATTAGGACCCTTACCTCAGTAAATTATCAAGTACTGGTACCTATGTAAGAGGGAAAAAGGCAATGCAAAGCCAAGGACAAACACAGACACTCTCATTTAGGGAACCATATTCTGAGATACGATACATTCAGGGACCTGTAACTAAGGTTTCCACACTAGCAATTACTTAGGAACTCTGACACTAGTTTTCAAAGAAGTTTCATTTTAAACACTTTTAAACATATAGCTACTAAAAAAAAAATTATAACCATTCTCCCCTTAAATGTTTTTTCTGTTTTTAAGAAAGAATAAGTGAATGATAGAGAATTTTGAACTATTATTCTACGCTTTGCTCACTAAAGAAAAAAGTAGGACCAGACAGGATGCATCCAGAGGTCATGAAAAAAGTAGATGAGATTTCTTCAAGGCTCTCTCTATCACCTTTGGAAGGTCACAGAGATCAGAGGATGTCTCCTATAACTGGAGAAAAGGCAGATTTCATACCCAGCTTTCAAAAGTGCAAGAAAGATTACTTGAGAAATCACTGGTAGGTCAGCTTCACTTTGGTTGCCAAGAAATTCATAGAGCAAGTCTTTCTGGAAGCCATTTCTAGACACACAAAGGAAAAAAATGGGGACTAGGAATAGGCAGCCTTTACCCATGCTTTAAAAAAATTTAAAAAAATAATTTTTAAAAAAGGATAATGAGCCCAACTGCCTTCTACACTAAAATTATTAGAATTTGTGAATACAGAGAGAGCAAGGAAGCATGAAAGCTGGGTCACTACAATCTAAAGAGATAGATCACTAGAAGGATGAAATACTGGCTGGGTCACTGAGCGCAGAATGTGAAGTTCAGTGGTTAATGACACTGCAGACTCGTTAAAAGCAAAAGATCTGTACTGAGATTAATTTGTGTGTTTAATACTTTTCCTTCTCAGTAACAAGAAGCGAAGGCAGAATGTACCCTCACCCATTTTGAGGGGAACTGACTGGTATACTTAAGGACTGGACCAACAATCATAGACAGAAGAATTCACTAGAAGGAATCTCGTAAGTGCAAAGTCCTGTACTTTGGACAGAAAAATCCCTGGCACAGGAACAACTGGCAGGGTTGTAGTTCTACAGAGAAAAAACATGAGGGCACTGGTGGAGTGCAAGTGAAATGTGAATGAGCAGAGCACTGTCATAACAATGAAGCCTAATAGCATACTGCACATCAACAAAAACACTAGCCAACAGGCTGAGGAAAGTGATTGTTTTCCTTTACTTGGCACTCATTAGACCACATCTGGAATACTGCAACCCATTTGGAGCCCAGCAGTACATGAAAAATTATAAACTTGAGTGAGCCCAGCGAAGATCCACCAAGATAGCACATGAAAAGGGCTGTAACACAAGACTTGTGATGACCGGCTGAGGATTTGCTTAGAGCAGAAGAAACTTGGGATGAACCTTACAGTGCCTTTAAAACTGAGCCAAGTTCTCTCCTGAGATGTAAGGAAGGAAGACCACCTCCACTGTCACACTGAAACTGAGATTTGACATGAAATAATGAGGACACCACACGGACAACCACAGATAAGGACAAGTTCCCCTAAACATTGCAAAAACTCTCATCTTGGAGGTTTTGAAGATCCTACTGGACAAAGCCCAAGCAATATGGTCTGAATGAAAAACTGATCATCTTTTTAGCAACAGGTTGGACTATATAGCCTCCTTACACCCCTTCCAACCTAAACTGTTCTATGAACCATAGAACTCTTGTTACAGCACCACACATCAAACTCATGTAGAATTGTTGTCAAGGGCTCTACTTCAGAACTACAATTGAGAGATGGACAAAGGAAAGGATATAAGAGCTATTAAGTTTATTACCTTTGCAGATTTTCGCTGTTTGGTTATATATCTCCTCGTAGGCCCTGGCTCTCAAGACCCCTAATCAGCCTAGCTGCCCTTCTCTGCACTCTCTCCAGCACCTCAATGTCCTTACTATACTGTGGTGCCCAAAACCGCATACAGTGCTCGAGGTGCAGCCTCACCAAGGCAAAGCACAGGGTCCTGCTGGTCACTCCCCTGGTCCTGCTGGTCACACTATTCCTGATGCAGGCCAGTATGCCACCTGGTCACACTGCTGGCTCATGTTCAGCTGGCTATCAATCAACACCCCAGGTTCCTCACAGCTAGGCAGCTCTGACATTTGGCCTTATTGAAACTCATTCTATTTGCCTCGGCCCAATGGTCAAGCCTGTCTAGATCCCTCTGCAGAGCCTCCCTACCCTCAAGCAGATCGACACTCCCACCCAACTTAGTGCCATCTGCAAACTTACTGAGGGCGCACTCTATCCCCTCATCCAAATCAGCAATAAATATGTCAACCAGGAGCAACCCCAGCACTGAGCCCTGAGGAACATCACTTTTGACTGGCCACATCATTCTCCACTCATAACTCCACTTATAACTGGCCACATCATAACTCCATTCAACACAACTTTTTGGACGTGTCCATCCAACCAGTTTTTTATTCAGTGAAGCATAAAGTTCAAGCCACAAGTAGCCAGCTTTTCAAGGAGAATGCCTTGGGAAACCTAGTCAAAGTCCTTGCTAAAGTCAAGGTAGAGAACATCCACAGA